CAGCAGCTCTACATTAGAGGCTGAGAAGAGCTAAGGCTAATTTTTCCAGGTTCTTTTTGCTCTGTCAGTCTCTCACATCATGTCTCAGCTAGAGTAAACTGGAACAATTTTGCAAACTTCAATGCTAATATGCAAGGGTCTCACCTTTTCTACTCAGAAGAAACAAAGACATCTTAATCTGAAAACTTTTTAATCACAGAACGTTTAGCATAGATGTACTCACCTGTGGACTTTATTTCAGGTGTTCCTACCAAAACATGTGACCTCTAATAAAGAAGCAACCATATGTCATATTACAGGCAGATGATGGAGTTAATCATGCAGCTTTGAGCCATTCCCTCTCTACCCATTAATCCACCTCCTTTGAGACTTGTTCTAACAGTCCAAACCAGAAATAGGTACAGTCAGAAGAAACGTCTACAACTTTGAAACTTGGATGAGATTTTTAACTTCAAAAGAGTCAGGAATGTACATGTGTGAGCTCATGTCCCTTTCCCAGCAAATACTAATGAACAGCTTCCAGCTATTTGCATTAAAAATAATCAGCCTCTCAGGGAAATGTTTCTTTCCCCAAATACGGAAGGCTTCCTCCAAGCTGTCTTACAAATTTAGATGTGTTTGGTTGTAGCACTTAGTCCTATACCAGTGACACATTTATGGGCTGCTATCTTGAGGGCTGGAAACAAAAATTTCACATCTTTCCAAAAAAAGAAAAAGCTCCCTTTCCACTGTGACATGTCATATGAAGCTCTGGCCCTGGAAGGTTCCTATGTATCAGACACCAGCTGTAACATTTTAAGGTACAGAAAACCAGCTTAAAATTCCCTCTGAAGAAGTACATTGATTTTTCCTTCTAAGTGTGATGGTTGTACTTGCAGTATGAACACATCTGAATGCACAGAAAGAATAGTGTGAAAAGACTCACAACACAACAAAAATTAATGAGTGTGCAAGGAAAACAACATAGAATGGACGTTGTAAAAAACCCTCTTCCTATGACCCCATTCCTGCATCTCTACAGCAGCCAGCTACAGCATGTTGTCCTTGTAATACAGATGTGAAAGAATCAACCTTCCATCTGTACCAAGTATGCATAGCACTATTCATAACAAATAATTATTTGCAGCAGCAATGGAAGAGTAAAGATGGTTTAAGATTTGTAATTGTAGGGAAGAAAGCATTTCGTCTAGCAGTTGACAACAAACAAGCATGCAGAAAAAACAGAATAAAGCCTACCCAGCCACTCACTCAAAGTCCGTGTTATGATTCTTCATGGTGGAGAAGAAAGGAAGATTCTCTTAGAAAACTGATAAATGTAATCTTTATATGGAGGTACTTAGAAGTTAGTTGTCTATAGTAGTTAAATGGGAATTTCAGTGACTTACTGTTCTCCCATTAGACCGGAGTCCTCAGGGATAAGTGAATGATAGTAATTGTTGCGATTACTCTTCTAGTACACATGTACATTTTTATTTGCCTGAGAACAAGAGTATGTGCTCGGAACAATTATGGCACTATACAACTTCCAGTGATTTAAGGGAAACTTCAGTTTTTTTAAAACTAGCTTCTAAACTATCCCCTTCTTTAATCATAACAAATTTGGAATCTCTTTCTTGACTTCAACAGCTGAACACTTGGCTCAGGACATGTGTCATTACTTCCTCATTCTTCAACATAAAGGCAAACTGGCAGCCTGCTTGGGAATTTTTGGGACTCTGAAAGATACCCAGGTAATTCTCTGACAAACCATACTAGATCATATCAGCATTTCTGTAAAACCCAGGTCATAGCTCCTGTCAGTGCTTGGTTTTTTAACAGTAGGCATGAAAAGCTGCAACTCGGATTGTTATTTTGTTTACATACTGTGATGAGTAAAAATCCCAAGCCCATAGCCTAGATTCTAGTGTACCCAGAAAACTCATTTTAAGACCTCTAATTTATTCTCTTGGACTGCAATTTCAGCCATTTTGTGATGGGATGGAGACTTTCTTTTTCCCAAATATGGCCAAATTGCATTTTTAGCTCTTTGGTGCTCTCACAGCTCAAGCTCCACTGAAATTATAATGTTAGTCTGGATTTCCATTGCTGTGACAGCAAGCACAGCCTGTCTGCCAGTGTACAGACAAACTCAACAGGCTGAAATCTGAATGGAAAATGGAGTAAGAATATAAGTGAATGGTGCCTGAATTAATGCTACTGCAGAACACTCTTGGTTAATGCTCAGGGTATAGAAGGGGAGATATTCAGAGAGGTTGCAGAATAATGAAAAATTAAGCCATATTGGGGGAACATTTTCAGGGTTATTTCTTTTTCCCTGACAAACTTTCATGTGGTTTCTCCTAAGTGCAAAACAGCATGCTGAAAGCTATATCTTCTTCCCCTACCCTCATGATAACTTTGACAACGGAAAAAGATCGTACATGCAAAGTGACGAAGTCAAGTATCTAAGTAATGAAATGTTTAAATTAGAGGAATTACTGCAATTTGGAGAAGGAGAGGAGCCACACCTTCGGGAACACAATTATCCCTTTAAAATCCTAGAGAACCAAGAAGTGCAGATGAGCCAAGAGCTATTCGTGGGGGG